ACCGTCCATTCTCTCCCTCAATTACCCAATCCCTCTTCTAGCAATGAAATCAGGCGTCCTTCGAGATCTACACTCTCTTTGGCGCCCGTTTGGGCTTTCTTTTCTTTCATTTCCAACCTCTCTTAGAAGCCCTCAGGTGAAAACATCAACAAGTCTGCAAATCAAGGAATGGGGATCTCATTTTATTTTCCAATTTTTAAGCATATTGGGGCATCTTTTTGCCTTCCATACCTAGTCTCATTTCATTTTCCAGATTAAGGAATCTCTAGCACTCTCATTTTTTTCCCAATTTTGTTTTCGAAAGCATCGAATATAGATGCCCACCTCATGGAACACTAATGGGGCTGGTTTCATTTTATTTTCTTATTTTTGAACATATCCGAGTTTCTTTTCTCCTAAATCAGACTTTTTTGGAACCGATCTCTTAAGGAACTGGTAGCGCTGATGAAACTAGAAATGATTTCAAAATATGGGATTTTCTTTTTGTTTTCTGGTATCTGTAAATTTCCTTCTCTTTCCTCATTTTGAAGTTAGCTAGAGACCAGAGGTAGAGTGATGAGGCTGGCGGGTTGAGGCTGGTGTGCTGGGTAAGAGTACGAACGAAAGGCAATTTTTACATTTTCTTATATTATTCCCACCACATTGGTTTTTGCTCCAAAAAGAAACCGGATAAATACTCCGGGTTGGAGGGAGTATTATGTTTATGTTTCAATTTGTCTAAAATCTCAAATCTTAATTAAGCACTCAAAAGTCCAACCTCTAACCAGTCCAAAACCCCATCCAAATTGGGCCTTAGAATGTTACTCCCTCCATCCCAATGTATTTGTCAGCATTCATTTTGGCTCATGGAACAAGTTTAATGAAACAAAAGATGAAAGCGATCATTGCGCCCTTGATTTTACTTTTTGGGTGGGGGAGTTTGAGTATTTTGTCGGGGCAAATAAGTCACTATTCTTCCATTTCTCTTTCTTAAATGTGTAGTGGACATATACATTGTGACGGCCCAAAAAGGATTACTAAGCAAATACACTGGGACGGAAGGGATAAGAATTAACATATGCCTATTTGTACTCTCCATTGGTCCTTCATGCTTCGTGTAATTTACAGGCCTGGGGTCATCCTTCATTGATCATTTTTACCAACCGTTGTATACTTAGGTTTCACCAGCAAACTTACCTAACTTCAGCTACTGATTCCAATTCTGCTTGGTAGATTAGGCAAAACTTGGTAGGGGGGTTTAATGTTAATACACGTGGTAATATTGAAGTAGTCTCCTTATCTATTACTTGAAAGAAAAGAGGTCAAAATAGCAAATTCTCCTTTCCCTGGGAGACCAATGATCTCTTATTGTAAACCACTTTTAAGAGTATTAAGCTGGTTTTGTTATCCGCAAGTCTTCTTGACCTCCTTTCACTTTGTAGTAGTTTGGCTGATTCATGCTCCATGACATACAACTAATGTTTATGTAGTCTGCAACTGCTCGTGGATTTATATATCAACTGCCAATATGTTGACTGGTTATTTGTGGTTCACTAGTTCTAGCATTAATTTATTGATAACAGCCTAGAGTACCTGTTACATTGGATGTTACTTGGAGTGCCAATGATCAAGTTAATATAAAGTACACTAACACTAGAGACTGAAAGAGTAAAAAGTAAATTGTATGAAAAAATAATTGTTTATGAGCTTCTCTTTCTAATTTCCTTTTGAAATAGCAGTATCTTTACGGTATATTTTGTCAATGTTAGTATTAAAATGCATATTCTTGCATAAAAGTTTGAATTATTTGGCATTTCTCTCTTTAATTTGCTCTGTTATTTTTTGGGGGGAACCTAAATTGTGCAATTGCTTTTATTTCTGCAAGGATTCCTCTTCCTCAGTGGGTGATAGAAGACATGGAAAAGGATCCAGATTTAGCATATTCAGACAGGTTTGGGAGACGGAGCATGGAATATATTTCCCTAGGATGTGATGTTCTTCCCATTCTGCAAGGACGATCTCCAATACAGGCATATACTGATTTTATGAGACACTTTAGAGACACCTTCAAACCATATCTCGGAACCACCATAACTGTAAGATGCTTCTTTGTATCATGAATGCTCATGTTGTGTTTTTGTGCAAGCAATATGTTACCTACAAAAGATAAGTTAGATTGAACCTGGTACTTGCTTTGCAGGGTATTCAAGTTGGAATGGGGCCTGGTGGTGAGTTAAGATATCCTTCGTGCCCTTCACTAAAGTTAACAAGGACATGGCGCTCACATGAACTTGGTGAATTCCAATGCTATGATAAGGTATGAATTCAATAGTATATTACTCCCTCTGCCCCGTAAAAAGAGTCCATATTCACACATGTACAACATTTTATTTTTTGTGATGCATTATTGTTGAAACCAATCAAATATAGCTACACTTTAAAATTTTAATTCTTGGTTTAGTTCAATGCAACACATGTAGTATAAAAAGCATTATCTTTGATGAAAATTAGCTTCTTTTCTTCAAATGGGACTGATTCTTGGGACTGATTTTTAGTACCTTTTTAATGAGTCAGAGGGAGTATGAGTTATTGATTATTAATTTTTCAGAGTGAGTAGTGATATGCATCTCTCATTCTCTCCTATTATTTTCTTTCTTGATTGGCAGTATATGCTGGCTTCTCAGAGTGCCTGTGCTGGGGAGATAGGGATGCGCGAATGGGCAAATGGAGGCCCCATTGGTGCTAGCAATTTGATGCACAACCCCGAAAGCACAGTGTTCTTCAGACGTGATGGTTCTTGGAACACGCCATACGGAGAGTTCTTCCTTAAATGGTATTCCGGGATGCTGTTGCTTCACGGGGAAAGGGTTTGCAAGGAAGCAGCATCTGTTTTTAGGGGGGTCGAGGTCAATTTGACTGGTAAAATAGGTGGGGTCCATTGGCACTACGTTACACCGTCTCACCCATCAGAACTAACAGCTGGCTATTACAACACTTCAATCCAAGATGGTTTCCTACCGATTGCTCGCATGTTTGGTAGATATGGATTCACGTTGTGCTGTACGTGTTTTGAGATGCAAGATGTAGAAGAACAACAGATGAATCCAGCGAGCAGTCCTGAAGGGTTTCTAAGACAGCTTTTACTTGCTGCGAGAAACTGTGAACTTCCAGTTGTTGGTGAAAACTCGGCAACCAGTCTTGATGACAAATCTTTTGAGCAGGTGTTAAAGATGTCGAAATTCTATTCAGATGGTCAAGATAAACCATCGTTTTCCTTTAACTTTGTCAGGATGGACAAGAACTTGTTTGAATACCGGAATTGGGTTAGTTTTACTCGGTTTGTGAGACAGATGTCCGTCACCAGTATTTTTCGAGGGAAGATAGGTTTTGGGGAAGGTGATACGCCGGTTTCGTCTTCTTCAGCAGCTAGCATGAAAGCAGTTCTCTCCTACTAGCCAGCCAGCCAGCCAGATGAAGCAGAGGCTCTGTGTCCACTTCTGATTTATTGTTTTGAATTGCAGTTTCTTGAGTAAATTTTCTTTGCTGCATTGTATTTGGTTTTCCGTTTCGTACGTTCTGAATGGAGCAAGCATACATCTCTCTCTCTCTCTCTCTCTCCCCTCACCCCCTCTTCTCTTTTCTCTTTGTAAGTCTGTAGTGTAAAGCAGAGCCTTCCAAATATTTTGAGAATGGAAGGCTCATGTTGTTTGCGCTAGCTACTCTCGCGCTTTAAATATTTAGCTTGTCAAAGGAGAGGTGTTTCCATGTACTTTTTACATTTTATTTTTAGTAAACTCCATAAATGGTCTCTAGCGTCCCATTCCGTTGAACTGAAAATCACAGTTGGATGTAGGAAGAAATTCAAAAAAATTTTAAGAAACTTGAAGGAGTGAAAAAAATTAGAAAAGTTGGAAAATGTTGGAAGAACTAAAGTGTTAAAAAGTCACTTAATTAACATGTAAGAAAATTATAATTTTGGATAAAAAAGAATTTATCTTTGTCTGTGTTTGAAGTGATATGTTCTAAATTTGATACTCCCTCTGTCCACCATAGATTTTCTCAGACACTATTCACAGGGTCAAACTTAATTCACTTTGTTTGTTTATTTTTACTACTCATTTCATAAAATAATATAGTGTTGTCATTTCTAGTTTTGTAGAACTTTTCATGTAGTTTATTACTACATAGATTTTATATTAAAATTTTACCACTATATTCAAATAAGTTGAATTGAAAATAAAATTGGTCAATCCTCGTAACGCGCAATGGGAAGATCTTAGGTAGACGGAGGGAGTATAAAATGTTATGAGAAATTTACTTAAATAACACTAAAACATAATGACTTTTCTTAAATAACACCACATATGTTTTTCTTCTCAATTAGCACTTTTAGTCATTATGCATTAGTTATTATTCAAGTAAATATTCGCCATCACTGGACATTATGAGCATTAGTAAGTGCTATTTAGTGAATAAAACAATTTAAGTTCTATTTAGAGAAATGATTTAAGTTTTAGTACTATTTAGTGCAAATATTTCTAATGTTATTGTATATTCATCATATATACCCCGAGTAATTTTTTTTTATGTTGTTGAAAAGTGAAAAGAATTGGAAAGAATTGAAAGGAGTTTAAAAAAATTAGAAGTTGAAAAAGTTAAAAATTAATTTTTCTAACGTAAAAGAATTATGCACAATTACATGTTGTTTTTCATATTAAGTTTCTAATTATAAAATATTTTCAATTTTTGAAAGAGTTAATACTCATTTTGATGCTTCTAAGTGTACTCAAAACTCAACTTGTCCTTGTAAGTTCATTTGAATTAAATTTATCCCCATATACGGAGTATAAAAAATGTGAATCAAGTTAGTTCTACGAACAAAATTTTTCTCCTAAAATTTGGAGCTACCACATTAATTGATACAAGAGCAAAGACACAATACATTAAGTTTTGTGTCAATTATATTGTTAACTTAGAACTTTAGAAAATTAGACCTGCAAACCCTATCTCAGTATCTCATTCTTCATCTTCTGATTCCTGTCATCGCTGTCATCTACTCATCGCCGTCATCTCCTCTCTCATCGCCGCACATCGCAGCCACCGATGTCACGAACTGGACGGAGGCAGTAGAGGACCTCGTCAGTAGCCGCGAACTCGAGAAGGCCATATCTTTACTCGCGAAGGTGACTAACGGTAATCTTTTAATGAATTTCGGGATTATTTGAATGAGTTTCTCCATTAAAAGAATATCAAGTAATTACAACCTTAAATCTTGAGAAGAAAATGTAGTCCACTGTAAATGGAGTAATAACAACCTTAAATATCAAAAATTTCTCCATTCATAGTCAACCCTCAACTGTAAATGGAGTTTCGATCGGAGAAGAAAAATTGGCTAAAAGATGATACGATTTTTGTTAAAATATGTGTCCTATTGTTATTTATCTCTGTTTTAAATAGTAGACTTTTTTTGGCAGAATCAACCCCCAAACCCAATTCCCAAACTATTTTCTTGTAATGATTGTATACAATTCGGTTATAAATAACCAACCGTAACCATTCTGTTTAACCGGTTTTGGTTTTGTCGGTTATGCAAATACAACGGTTCGGTTTCGGTCGGTTTATATATACCAAAAAAAATTGGTTAGTTCGGTTTTGGGCCTAAACCGACCGAACCGACCCGATGCTCACTCCTAGTTATACCAATGGTTGAATGAGAATACTACTAACACACTTAAAATAATACTCATGTAGTATGTACCTACGTAGAGATTGAGATATCACAATATCCATAGCTTATGAGATGCAAATATCATGTTTCCTACGTAGTAGTCCTAGTATATTATGACGTCCGTATTATCATAATATTCGACTAAAAACATTTTAGGCATAGCCTCTATTAATATAACAACCTCATAATCAAAACATTATAGCTCTAATCTATGCAACTAGAGCGCTAAGACTATGGACTAAAGCCATTTCTAGATACACAAGATGTATAAACAATCTTTAAGGCCTTTTATTCTTGATAAATATTCAGATATCGATTCATACATTGGCCTGTAGGGCTCATATATCCAAAAATTCTCGTCTGATACCGTAATAAGACTCCCTCATTCATCCAGGTGTGCAGCCCCTTCAGAATTTGGTTGTCCATCCCGTGATCGACGAGGCAACTAAATATTGGGTAACATATTTTATTATTTATATCTTTTCCTTATAATATAACATGATCTACAAGTCGTCATGGATTGTTGTGAAGTATGAACTCATTTAACGGATTGATAACTTTCCGAAGGAATTATGCATTCTTAGTCAAGCAACCAATACATGATCATATAAACAGTATTTGTTCACATATGGCAGTGGTTATTCACCTAGAGAAACACTTAATTTTCAATCCTTAGTAAATAAATAATGTTTACACAAGATACTACTTAGTTATCTCCCGAGGCACAGACGTCATGAAGGATGCGGATGCAGGCTTCAGAACCATGTGCCTTATTATTTCATTATTATCGGAAGTATTTTATTTTCATATAATAATTTTTTGAATTATTTATTACGGAGTATTAAAATAGTATGTTGGAATGGTCCGAACACCAATTTTAAAATCATATGCTCCGATACCAAAATGTAACACTCCAACCCGCATAACCCGAATAGATGGGTTAGCGGACCGGTCTATTACTAAATTGGTATTCACACACAATATTCGCGAATAAACTAAAACTATTTAATTAAAAAATCCAAACATTTCAAAATAATTCAAACATTTACCGGAGTTAATTCAAAACAGTATAAAGGCTAAACTGTCATTTAATAAAGATCATCCTGACATTATTAATAGAAAAAGCCATTGTAGTAATTATTCCTTTGAATTCCCGCATCTGTACATCTCTTCTGTCTCGGTGCTCTCCGGGGTCAACTGACCTTAGTCTTACTTGCGTGCAGTAAAAATAAAACAACTGCAGGCTCAGCTATGAAGTCAAGTGAGATATATCTAACATCCGAATATACACATACACGAACCCACCCATCTTTCAAGAACCCTAGATCTGCCTTCTAGATTCTTCTTTCTCACAATCATCTCTCATCGGAATTCTTTTTTTATAGTCTACCCCGATTTTTCATTTTGTATGGGTCTGAAAACTATTGTTTCTTCCCCCTTATTCTTGAGTTGGAGTTTGAATATGAAAGTGATGAGGTCCAAAATGAGATCTACGTCAGTGAACATGTACATCTTTGACAATGAGGATGTAAATAGCATCGTTGTTCTTGACAGGAATGACGACGACAACATAGTTGTTCCTTACAGTAGTGATGATGACGATTTATCGTATCACCATAGAGCGACCGACGCCGACGTACTCAACCAAAAAATAGGAAGGGTGCTGAAACTCTTTCTTGAATCTGATTATAACTGAAGGAAGTATTTTTGTTTTTGAATTTTTATTTTTGTAATGATTATTGTTTAGATCTTGTTAACTTATGCAATGAATATTGTTCTAGAAATTCTTTCGTTTTAAAATGCTTTTGGATTTATTTTTCACATGGGCCGTATGATTTTTTTACATTTGCTTGACTTATCAGTTTCTAAGGACAAAGCCATACTTGAAAAGTCAATTCAATTTTTGTACTACCTTAAAAATGAGCTCCGGTCAAATTGGAAAGAATGTTTTACGACAGAGAGAGCAATTTCCCACAGAGTGTATAATTTGAATCCCTTTTTAATATGGTTTTGAAGAAAAAACAGAAACAATTATTTAGGTCTAAAGTAGAGTAAAAATGGTCCGGATCAGAAAATCTAGTGGATCTTCGGTCCAAGTAAATACAAGATTCCAGTTCTGGTCCAATCTGATTTAGGTTCGGTCTGATTTAATACTGGTGCATAGCCCAAATTGTGGATAGGCAAATTATGGATCCATATAGCTAGGAGTGAGCTATCCCAATATGATATAGAAAATATGCCAAAAAACCCGAAAATCCAATTTTGAAATCTTGAATTGATAAGTACCAAAAGTTACCGAACTGTACCAAATCAGTTATTCGATTTGGTATTTGGGAATGATATTGACTTTTATCCCATTTAAAAAATCCTAAATATTGAATAATTTAAACGAAGGAAGCTTCACCTGATTTTATTGTACTCCGTAATAAGTTGTGATATGATAAATTTTTAAAAATTTCAACTTGAGTGAGTGAGTAGGGTTCTTTGGATCTTACTTGCGCAGAGGGTTCAGTTTTTCTTTTTCGCTGCTTATTCTTCTTCTTCTTCAGGTCTTCGTCGCTCAATCTCACGCCGCCGACCATAGCTCCAGCTCCTTCTTCTTGGACTTCCCGGTGTTAAAGTTCTCTTCTTCTTCGATTTTACTTAAACCAAACATATATCACTGAATCCTATGAAACCTCCTTTCATTGGTGTATGCCTCTTTTTGAAATGGATTATGGATTTATTTTTGAAACTAACAATGAAATTGATTCAAGACTAATTTGAAATTGAATTTATTCTGAAACTTATTTGTTTTAAACTGTTTGAAATAGGACCTTGGGCAAGGTATGGTTTTTCCATAAATAGTGGAGACCATAAGCTACGTGAGCATCCATCCTTGCACCCATACATCATTTTTTCAGACTGCATTAGAGTAGAAGAATGTTCCATATAATGTACTCCATATGAAATATTATCTCCTAATTTTTTTTAGTGTTTATGAGAGCTTTGGCCTCGTAAAAGAATCTAGAATATGGAAGTTAAAATGAAGAATAGAAAAGTTATGTGTACCATTATGAAAGTATTCTCTAATTGTATAATACTACTTGGCTAAACTCCTAAAGAATACCATGACCCTTTTGAATCAAAACAAAGTTAAAATCTTTTAGATAAAGAAATAGGAATGTTATATAGAAAGACTGTTTGATTGTGTTGGACACTTGGACATACGTTCCATTGTGCTCTAGTTGATTCTTGAAATGGACTGAAAGTGAAACTGAAAATGATTTGGATCTATTTAAAACTGATTGTGGATTTATGTTTGAAATTGATTTTAAATTTTTGTTTATCGGTAGATTGTTTGATGAAAAGGATTGTTGTTTTTTGTTTGTGATGGTTTTTTTTGTATATGAGCTTAATCAATAATGACTGGTAGTTTTCTCATTTGTTGCTGCGTGCTTTCTACTTGCTGTGCTTTTCTGTTGTTTTTTCGTTATTCTTTGCTTTATTATACTCTATGCTTTCTCTACTTAATAGGCCTTCTGTGAGCTTGTGCTATCGGTGCTATTTGTGTTACTTGAGCCAAGTGTCTCTTGGAAACAACCTCCCTACTTTTGAGTAGGGGTAAGGACTGCGTACACATACTCTTCTCAGACCCCACTCTCCGTGGGTTTCGACTTGGTTGTTGTTGTTGTAACTGTTGTTGACTTTATTCAATAATAAAAGTGATCAAACTTCTCAGCTAACCCAAAATTTTGAGGAAAGTCAAAAAATTGTACATGAAGAAAACCAAAATGAAGATGATGAGTTGAAAATATTGTGTCAAGTTTATGCAGGTGTTGTATTATTATTGGGCTTGCTGATTGCTCATACATTATGTTGTGTTGTTTTTTTTTGTTTTTAATCCTGAAGGCTGAATGTCAAGTTTCTTCTTGCTGATTGCTCATACATGACTGCTCATACATGTTGCTGATTTTATTTCTTTTTTAACTTACTACTGAGTATTTTTTGCCAGCTACTAGTAGTTTTTTTTATAACTTACTGTTTTAAGTCGATTTTGAGCTTATCGACTTTACATTTTTTCCTAGCCCTTTCCCTTTAATTGGATCCGTTCAATTGGATCTCTATTTTTTGTATAAAAAAATCCCAAATAGTTATTGAAAGATTTGAAACCAGTATCAATTCATCCTAAACCATACCGTACCAGTAATTTGGGATCGGTATACCCTTGCAAATAACGATAATGAATAGCAGTGTTTTCTGTGTGCAATAAAACTAGGTAAAGAAATCAAGGCATTGCCTGTCGCCTGCGGAGGGGGAAGAAGCCTCAATGCCGCGTACAATTACCTACGAAAGCCCGGGCTGCCCTCGCCTCCGAGCCTTAACCTCTGATGTTCTCGGCCTCATCAAAGGTTTTCCACAATAATAAATATGCAGTTCTTGTTTCTCAAACGTTCAAAATTAATTTTAATGGAAAACCACTTGTCCCCCCATCACTTACTTAGCTGTGGTTTTGTACAGTGGTTCAAGCTCGTGGTGGCGAGAGAGAGGAAGCTCCGGCTGTAGTGGAGCGGTGGGGCGACCCGGATCCTTCAAGACACGTTCTTGCCACTTCCATCATTGACCGTGAATGTGACCCTGTATGTTGTACTGTGTGAATCAATAAGCATTATTGGTTGTTATGTATTTTCTTTGTTTTTTTCTTATCTGAAGCTCTTATGTTTTCTTCATTGTATGCTCACTCGTTTCAGCTTCTTGGCGTGGCAAGAAAAAATGGCATGGTAATTTTCTTCTCCAAGTATAATCACTTGTCATGTTGGTATGTAGACTTGTAGATTAATTACGGCTAGCAAAATAAATGCCAGATGAAAAGGGGAATTTGTGAAATGTAGTGCTCTATTTAATAAATAACAGTGGGATTGCAGTTTTATAGTACTATTGTGAATGATTATTTGCCATAGCTATTTCAACATATCTGTATTGATAGATTGAGGTGCTTAGCTCTATCAATGGTGATGTTCGCCTTACGGTTCCGAGCTCTAGTGAGAGCAGCAAGGCGAGTGGTGATGATGCCATTGTGGCATTACATCTTTTCCGAAAACAGAGGTTGGAGTCATCATTGAGGTGCTGACTCTTATTTTGTTTCATGTTCTCATGGATATGCCTCCCTCAGATTTGTTTAAAATTGTCATTCTGAATATTTTATTTTTTCATATTAGGTCATGTACCTTGTTCACATGTACAATAAAAGGGCATGCAAGCATAAGGTCTGTTGAAATCCCTGAGTCACTTGGAGATTCAACCTCAGAGGCCCCTCTCACCACATGGGATGCACACGCTTTGGGTACCATTTTGTGCTCCAAAGTAGACAACAGTGAAAATTATGCTTTATTCGGGGGGTAAGAAAATGTTACCATTTTGCAATAGAAAATATGCTTGGTTTTATTATTTGGGCTATCTTATGGTAGCTGGATTTGCCTTAAAAATTCAGGAAGGGAGTTGAAATCAATGTGTGGGATCTTGAAAAGGGTTGTAAAGTCTGGGCTGCAAAACCTGTAAGTTTCTTCATTCCTTTTACCAATGCTATTCTGGCAATGAACAATTCAACCGGTTAAGCCACTTGGCTCACATTTCACCTGATACATTCACTTCCTGTAGCTTCCCACAAACAGTATTGGGATCTTTACACCTGCTTGGTTTACATCTGCAACATTCCTAAGCAAGGATGATCATCGCAAAATTATAGGTGGCACTAATGGCCATCAGGTAATTGGGTATTGAATTTCAATGTAGCTGTTAAACCTATGGAATCGATGATCTATGCAAGTGAATCATTCCCGATATTGATTTTGATTTGTATTCCATTTTTTAAACACCTTGAAAGAATTGGAGTCATTATTTTATGGACCTTAGTACATAAACACCATGAAAGAATTGGGCCTTTTTGCAAAAAAGGAAAGATCCAGTTGTCAGCCCAAAAAAAGTGTGAGAAGGTCCACATTTCACATGTGGACCTTAGGACCACAAAAGCACAACTCCTTTTGGTTACCAAGTCTGAAGATTTAGAAAAGTATTTATACAACACCTTAAAACTAGGGACCTAAAGGACAACAACTTCAATTAAATATATAGGATTTCAAAAATTATGTGCAAAGTACTATAGAACTAGTAGATTTTTCTTTAATTAGCTGGTTATTAGTTTTAAGGGGAGCTCATCTGTATCTTAGATCTATACTGCAATTTGCTTTCTAATGCTATATCTAATACTCCCTCTGTCCCAAAAAGACTTGCATGTTATCCTTGTTGGTCCGTTCTAAAAAGATGTGTCTGATTTGATAGTTGGATTTTTTTTGTGGTTCACAATGTTTCTCTCCATAAGTTTTAACTGCACAATTTTTTATCCCAATCAAGCTGGACACATCTTTTTGGGACGGATGGAGCAAATGATATTTGCAGTCAATTTAGTTCATCTGACTATTCTTGCAGGTGCGTCTTTATGATATTTCTGCTCAGAGAAGACCTGTAATAAGAATTGATTTTAGAGAAACAGCCATTAAAGCTGTTGCTGAAGACATTGATGGCTGGACAGTATATGCAGGGAATGCTTCGGGCGACCTTGCTTCATTTGATATGCGCACAGGTGTCATATTTGATATAATTTTTGCTAATACTTAGTACTCCTTTAGGTCCTTATTATAAGCCCCCTTTTGAAAGGAATCAATGGCCCTTTTGTAAGGCATATACAGAGTGTATTCCTTTTGAAGTATTTATTTATTTTTCCATTGTTTTCCTTAATGAATATTTGATCATGTGTTTTTAAAAGCATTTATGTATGCAGAACAATCCAAGGATAAAAGTGGAAAATTGTTACTATATTTTAAGAACTCAAACACTATTGGGCCTTTTTTAAGAATCTACGAAAGATCTCTCGAAGGTTGTATGATTCTTATCTCAGACCCTGTAAGGGGTTAAAAATGTTTTTTTAAAGAATCTATTTTGGATTGGGACTAGACCAAAAAACACTAAAAAGGCAAGCAATTGGTGATGCGTTGAAATGGTGCACAAATGGCGATACCTTCGGTATACCCAGCAACATTTTCATTTTGTGTGGCAAAGATTCCTCAAATCGCCAATGGCACAAAAAGGTTACTGCCATTTGTGCCATTGATAACCATGAGCCTTATGGAAGAACTCAACATCTCTCAAAATTCTATTTCGTTTACAACACAAATACCCCTATCTTCTTTCTACTGTAAATGTGTCAGTGTCACCTTCCGCCATCAACCCCTCAACGAATACCAGTCAGCCTCCATCTCTTTGACATGTGATGTGATCCAGTCGTCATAGGTGGTTCAAACCTCTCTGAATGTATCAAGATATCAAGATATTTGGGGCAAAAGTTCAAACTGTTCAGGTAACCACTCAGTGTGGTTCACATAGTGGAAGAATGTTGAGCCACACTCTCGCAAAAGTTCCAGCAATTTTAATACAAAGTCACATGGACCACAAAAGCTTCCCTTAGCCCCTCCCTTTTTTTACCCAAGAAAGGACCCGAGATAGAAAACAAGCATTGTCATTCTGAAGTATTTCCGTTCAACATTCCACAGCAAAGGTCCTCTTTAGTAGCCCAATGTTACCAATTTGTTTGTAATCAAAACACATTAGAGGATGAAAAGGTAACTTTGTTACCACATGCCCAGAGAGGCTCAACTATGGCCCCAAAATTTAGAGACCATGGCACATTTTTTTAAAAAGTTTCTTCAAACATTATTGTCAGCTGCATTATGGCTCCCATCTTGTGGGAAATACTCTTGGAGATATTGCCATCTTAGAAACAGGATAACGGCATCATTTAATCTTATAATGAAAGCTTCTAAACTCTTATTGCCAGAGTACCCACGCTCCTTAAGGATCATGATTTGTATTCTGCAAGTCTAGACACTACGTCACCAAGAGGTGCACCGTAGCAGTTGAACACCACACAGTGGAGGTTGCAATAAACCCAGCCCTATTGTTATGTTGCGATATGCCATTTATGAGTTGGTGTGATGCCTCTATGACACTAGTTACGAATATGAGAGGCAACATTGCAGCTTCACCCGGCCCCTTCTGCATCAACCAGATGACGTTAGACCATGCCATTTTGCTGGTCAAGGTGGGAACAATTGAAATGCTCCCTTTATACGGAGACTAACACAAATCTATTTGGACAAACACGAGTCCAACCTTTATGTTTTGATGTGATGAGACATGCATTCTGTGTCATACATGTGAACATCTTTTCTCTCCTGAGCTCTGAAGATCACATGAATCCTGAGTTCTGGTGAAATGAAAGAGTTGGGGACCTTGTAAGGTCATTGGTTGCTTCCATAAACAAGAAATGAAGCACATCCTTCCTTCAAAACTGAAGATAAGCTTGAATTTCTTAGGCAATGTATTTAGATTATCCTTGATAAAAGCTCGGGACTCTGACAAATGGTGTTGGTTATTGTATTTAAATAATACGGAGTATAACATTTATTATTTATGTTGTATGTGTTAGGGTCTTAGTGAATAGTGTTTGTTAGGTTTATTTATAGGAGTAGCAGTAGCCATGCTTCACATGCTAATATCTCCCTTCAACAAATACAATTTAGCATCACTCATCTTTTTGATCGGTGACATGATCCCGGTCCTGAGTGCCAATATGCTTCCATGTTCGTGTGCTTTTGGATTGCATATTTTAATTCTTATTTGCAGGCAGTTTGTAGTCTATACGCCTCCAAGTATTGCATGTTTCCAAGATAACATTATAGTATGCTCTGATGGACCAGTGTTAAGTAGGTTAATATTCGACAACGACATTACCCCAGTGCCTCAAAGGCTCCCGCTCATTGCAGGGTAAGGGGCTGATGACCCCTATGTTTAAAACATAGAGGGCTCAGATGACCCACAATGGGTGTTGAATGTTGCATTGACCAACTGCTACTTCACTATAAAAGAAGTGTAGACAGTTTAAAGAGCGAATTTTCTTTATTCCATCATACTGCAAAGCCAAAAAATAGTGTATCTTTGGCTCCAAACACAATTTTAGGAGTTTATTATTGCATTTTGAGTTCGGCTCTCGCCCTTCAAAGTTCAAACTTAATTTTACATACCTATGGCCATGATCACGTAACACGTGCAAAATTTACTTCAGTGGCATAAATATGAAATATAGCTTCAATTAAAGTATTCTCTAGATAAGCATATAATTGAATGGTTTTGATGCTTCATAGTTTAAGCTGTATCAGGAGATTTAATTTTCTTTGACAACGCTCTAGGTTTAAGCTGTATCAGGAGATTTAATTTTCTTTGACAATACTCTAGGGAAGCTTTTGGGATGCTTCATTGGTAAATCTAGTGGAAGTATACGCTGCATTGCTAGACATCCGGAGCTCCCAGTGATGGGATCGTGTGGTAAGGGTTTAACATGCTCTAAATCTTTTGTTTTGAACTTTGTTG